TCTATCTATCTATCTATCTATCTATCTATCTATCTATCTATCTATCTCAAAATATACTCACCACAATTAATCTGTCACGAATCACAAGTTTCATTTTAGATAGGCTATTCAAAATGAACAAAAAAAAATCAAGATATGTCTTATGTATCTCTAAATATCAAAACCAAAATAAGTCAAAATGTCATTAGCTTTATCCAATATCAATCAATAATTGGTTCATGACTAACAGTAGGCCTACTGTAATTAGAAACGTCTACTTAGATACTCTGGACGTCTTGTAAAGTCATTTTAATAGAAAACTCATGATTTTTCGCATTAACTATTTTTAAACATGGTAAATTGATTTTTCATAAAACAGTCTCGGTTGTTGAGAGCTTAAGATGTTTTTTTTTTTTTTTTCACCATTAATTTATTTATTGCAGAAACGAGATAGGCGCGTTGTTTAATTATATGTTACAACGTTCTGCCAGATCGGTGCCCTTCTAATGTTGCAGTACCGCCCCCTGCTGGTAGTTCTGCAGAAGTCCGTCTCTGTCCCCTGAGGGTGGCTGCGCTGCGCCTGCGCACCAAGTGTAACAAGATGGCTGATAGTGCGGAACTGAAGGTAAAGCAAGTCTTTTACACATTAGCTTGACAGATGGATGTTTCATATACCAGAACTCGATTTTCACATGGTAGCAAATTATTATTTGACAGCGGAAAACTGAACCGTGTTATTACGAAAGCATATGAAAGGAAAACAGTGAGGCAGAATAAACCAGACACCAGTTAGCCTGCCTGCTAGCTCGTTAGCTTTAGCTTTGTTATTGTTGCCGACGTTCCGTTAGAATGTCCCCGCTTCTCCTGAACCTTTTTTTGCTTTTACTACGATTGAAACAAAGAGTTTTGTCTGGTTTTCCAACTTAACAGCACCGTAGCGTCAGTTGCTTGACATCACATTGCTGTCGAGAGCCTGTACTGTTAACCGGGCTATGTCTATTCCCTGGAAACCAAGCGCAGGTTCATGATTTGCTTATTGTTTCTGTCAAAAAAGTCTTGATTTCCTTGTTTATTAACATTATTCACAGATTGTGTTAACTATATCTGTTTAATCACAGGCAGAGCTTAAAGGAAACGAGTAGTTTTGGTCAAACTATAGTTAGCATCCATCTGCCGGTGTTAGCTAGCTAGTGCCTTGTCTGCTGTTTTTCTGTTCTGATGCTGGTAGTTAGTTGTTAATTGTCACAGAACAATTGAGTTTTGATTGTAAAACGTGTTTCTTTTAAACTGTCTTGAAGCCAAAATAAATGTGTTCAATTTGCACTCTTCTGTTGCTGCAGGAGTTGGCTGCATTCACCTAAAAGACGTGGTATTTTAGTGTTATAGGGCAGAAAAGTGTCATTTAAATAAATAATCATAGGAATTGAGACCATATAATAGTATTACTTACTAGGTATATATTGTTAGTAATATAATATTTTCAGGTAGCATTCTTGCAGTTTTTACATTTATTAAAAAGTCACTTTTTGCAGTTTGTTTCAAGGAGATTACATTTTTTTAAACTGGGAGCTTTTATTTAGTGACATTTATTAGTTTGTATAATTTGCCCCTTTGCAATAGAATCTCATTAAAATAATGAAAACATAGAAGAAGTTTTCACTTTAGATTGAGAGCACATGTACAATCTGGTTCTTAACACACAGACATATCTTTTTATATCCTGTTGCATCTAAAGTTTTGGGTTTTTTTGTAACGCCCTTATACAATTCTTATAAACTATTTTATCAAACATTAAACAATAAGCTTTAATGTTCTCATAATATTTGGTGTTTGCAAAAACTAAACGTGGCAAGAAATGTACCTAATAAAATAGACACATTCTGAGAAATTTCACAGACCTCTTTCCCCGCTTTTTTTTTTTTTTTTTTCCACCAGCAAATGGTAATGAGCCTTCGAGTTTCTGAGCTCCAAGTGTTGTTGGGTTATGCAGGACGGAATAAACACGGGCGCAAACATGAACTTTTGACCAAAGCCCTGCACCTACTCAAGGCTGGCTGCAGTCCTGCTGTGCAGATGAAGATCAAAGAACTCTACAGACGGCGCTTTCCAACCAAAATGGTTTCGCCGGTGGACCTTGCCCTTCCCGTTGTTCATTCAGCATCCAGTTTGCCCACAGGCCTAGCCCAGCTGGGATTTGACAGCCATGGTTCTCCGTCACCACTGCTGCCTGTTTCTCTACTTGGACCTAAGCATGAGCTGAGTCTGCCTCACCTACCCTCCGCCTTGCACCCTGTACACCCTGATGTCAAGTTGCAGAGATTGCCATTCTACGATGTACTAGACGAGCTTATTAAGCCGACCAGCCTGGGTGAGGTTCTGAACATTCTGTTCAGCTGTGCGTTCAGTGATAACACTTCTCCCTCTTGTACATACCATTGATGCTTTGTGCTTAATAGAATTGAAACAAAGGCTTGTGACACTAGTGCCTAAGAATGTCTGTGGCTTCCTTAATGATGGTCTGTTCTGGTTTCTTTTTGTAAAGTTTCAGACAATAGTCAGAGGTTCCAGGAAGCATGTTATGCCTTTGCGTTAACGCCACAGCAAGTTCAGCAGATCAGCAGTTCAATGTAAGTGAACAAATGTCTGGCTCAGTCTCCAGAAAGAAGCAAACTAACAGTAACAATACGTCGTTACAACTATTCACAGTTTACTGATTATCTTATATGGAAATTATATGAACTATTATGATCAGATTTGAATATATGACTATATAATAATGATGTGATTTTAATTCTCTCTGTTGTCTTGTTGTTTTAGGGATATATCTGGGACCAAATGTGACTTTGCTGTTCAAGTTCAGTTAAGGTATTTTTAATACTGAATGTGTGAGTGAAGCAGATATTAATAATAGTCTGTCAGTTTTTAGCTTTTCTCTTTTAAAACATCCAAAAATAGCTGCTGTACTTGCATGTTGCTTTCAGAAATATTCTTTTAACTTCTTTCCATCCGTCTTATTGTAAATTTAAAACTTAACTGCGGTTTTATTTTTTTAATAAAAAAAATTCCCTTTTAGTTAATGGCTCAGAATATTTAAGACAAATCATCGTAATGCCGGGTTCTGAATTATGAAACTAAGGTGACAAATGTTTCTGGTTTGGCGTGGCTATTTTTACTCACATTGAAGAAGAAGCTGGATATTTTTGTAGTAATGTAGTTTAAATAACTATCAGAGCTTACAAAGAACCGCTGCCACAAAGAGGCTGGATTTTTCTCTTCAGGTAAAAACAACAAAAAAAACAAGAACTGATAAATGACCTGTCAGAAGTACTCTCCTATATCAAAACTAGAAATGGCTGATAGAACTGAAATGATATAAATAAACAAGTACACCAACTTGTTGTAAAAGTGGTAACCCTAAACAAACAGGCTGTTTTAGACATTTGCTCCAGGACAAAATTATTCTCGGTGTAATTCATTTTTAATGTCACTTTCAGATTTTGCTTATCAGAGACGAGCTGTCCGCAGGAAGACCATTTCCCCCCAAATTTGTGTGTGAAGGTTAACAGTAAGCCCTGTAATCTCCCGGTGAGTTCACACACGTTTGCACATTTAGTCTAAATTTCCCAGTGTTATTCCATTTGTTACTAAGAATCTTTTGGTTGTGTTGTCCGTAGGGATATCTTCCTCCAACCAAAAATGGCGTTGAACCGAAAAGGCCCAGTCGCCCCATTAACGTAACGTCTCTTGTCCGGCTGTCCACCACAGTTCCCAACACAATTGTAGTTTCTTGGACCTCAGAAATTGGGAGGGTAAGACTAACGCACCAAGATATTGAGGAAACTTTGTCAAACGGTCTGCGAGTGATGAACTTTATGTGTTCCTGTTGGTTTTTCCTTTGATCAGAGTTTTTCTATGGCGGTGTATTTGGTAATACAGCAGTCATCTGCAGTGTTGTTGCAAAGACTACGGGCCAAAGGGATCAGGAACCCCGACCACTCCAGAGCTCTGAGTGAGTAAAATACTGGCTTTGCTTTTGTTAAATACAAACTGCTCTGAAACTGCAGGAAAATTTGGACATTGTATGTTTTTATCCTCCATTTTGTGCATTTGTTTTTTCTCAAGTGCTTCAGGCTAAATAACTCAATTTAACCCTTTTTTTTTAAGTAAATCTTGTATTTTATTGTGTTACGTAAATAAAAGTGCATTCTTGAAGAAAATGTAATTTCAAAGTTTTCCATGTCCTGGTTTAATAAATATTAATGAATGCATTTACCTACTTACAGCAGAAAGTTGAATTCTTGTGTTTAACTTCTTTTTTGTTTCTTTCTTGCAGTCAAGGAGAAACTGACAGCGGATCCAGAGAGTGAGATTGCTACAACCAGTCTACGGGTTTCTCTCTTGTGTCCTGTAAATACTTTTCACTGCTACTCTGCTCAAGTTTCCCATCTTTGTAATATTTAGCATTCTTATTTGTTAAACGGTGAATTAATTGTTCAGTTAAACTAGAAGTGCATTAAAAAAAAAATCCAGATAATTATTAAGTAAAATGTGTTGTTAAAGTTTATTGACAAACGTCACTATGTTAACTTTTGCTTCTTCCTGCTGTTTGCTGTTAGACGAAGAAGATGAGTTATGTTTAAAAGGTTCTTGTGTTTCCTGTGTTCAAGTTGGGAAAGATGAGGCTGACCATCCCCTGTCGGTCAATAACCTGCTCACACCTTCAGTGCTTCGATGCTACACTTTATATCCAAATGAATGAGAAGAAGCCCACCTGGGTGTGTCCGGTCTGCGACAAGAAAGCACCATATGAACATCTAATTATCGATGGGTGAGCACAACGCTGATTTGTGTTAAATCTTTGGTGGCTTGGATTAAAATCCTGCAACTTTTTTTTTTTTTTTTTACACAAAATGAGTTGCATAACTTTTTCAAAATTGTTGTTTAATGTTGACCCATCCAGGATGTTCCATTTCAATAATAATTTGAGTAATTGTTAATGGCCTATTTGAATGGGACTCGCATCTTGACAGTACTTAAAACAGCACATCTCTGTCACTGTGCCAGTTTGGGATTGAGTTTGTTGTTTTGTGTGTCAGCATAATCATGGCTGTAAGAGTACTAAATTCCTGAAGTTTCTGTAAATAATACTATAATACTGTGGTGTTTCCACAGACTGTTTATGGAAATCTTAAATAGCTGCTCTGACTGTGATGAAATCCAGTTCAAGGAAGATGGAAGCTGGGCCCCCATGAAGTCTAAGAAAGAGGTGCAGGAGGTGGCAGCTTCCTACAATGGTGTCGACAGCGGTGCGCAGCGTGAAGATTCTTACAGCCGTAAAGTTTGATTACAGCCATCGAGCTCTGCGTGACTTCTCTGTGTTGTCTGTAGATTTGTCTCGAGCAGAGAGCCAGGATCAGAAACGGGGATCGTCTCAAGACAACAACAAGAAGGTTGACGTGATTGATTTGACACTGGACAGCTCGTCAGAAGACGAGCAGGACGACGAACCCCCTCTGAAAAGGGTGTGCCCCTCACTGTCACCTGTCTCTCCTCCTGCGAACAAAGGGTGAGCTTCCAAAGCCTGAACCGTTGGTCAGGTGACACCAGACACTTTTGTTTTTGGTTGTTGGTGCTCAGTTCTGTCCAGTTGTTTCTGTTGTCGCTGACCTTGTGCTGCATTTATCTCACAGAGTGCTGAACCTGCACAGTCAACCATCACCTGTCTCCAGAGCTCCCAGCATGCCCCCTGTGGAGACCAGCTACATTCCTCCACCGCCACCTCTAATTCAGGACTACCGCCATTATTATCACACAAGTGACCTGCCAGGTAGACCTGCTGCTTGCCTACCGTCAAGACAACGACCTCATTTTAAACTAATTCTTCTGCTCGTTCAATCCAGCTGTAAATAGATTTAGTTTATTTTCTGAATGATGTAATGGGTCTTTTTTTTTTGACAGAGCTAAATTTCTTCTCCTTCCTTCAAGGTGACAATCAGGTAAATCAGCTAAGACACTTGTTGCCCTTTTGTTGTCTAATTTCATCCATGATCACTTCATCGTACTTAATATATTACAGTTGTGTCAAGTTTTACACATAACATACGATAAATAGGAAGTTTAGAGTAACGTCACGCACCTTAATGTGTATGTGCTATTTAAGTCACCTTCATTAATTTTAACTTTTACAGTTAAACACACTTAACTTATTACACACCCTCTGCTGCTGCTGTGTTGTTCGGATTCATGCACAGCATTGCAGAAACATATTTTTATTTCAAGTTACAAGTTTACATGAAAGAAAACGTATTTACTGAACCCGCTTCTTCCTTTCTGGGTTTTCGGGAAGCTGGTGCTCTTCTCCAGCAGTGACTGTGAGAGACGGGGGGACACCCTGGACAGGTCACAAGTCTCATCACAAGGACACATAGAGACAAACGACTGACACTAACACACACCTAGGGATTATTGAGTTACCTCGCATGCATCTGTTTAGTCTGTGGGAGAGAACCAGAGTATGAAAAGGAACAGGTTAAAAAAAATTCAGCTTGACTGTGTTTTGCTGTTATAATTTAGATTCTTGTATTTTTGTATTCTTTTGTCACTGATGATGTTTTTTATTTTATTTTGACTGAACTTGAAGATCATTCTAATCTTGTGCACTGAAGGTTTATCCATTGACTAATAACGGCTCTTCTTTGTCCTGTTAGCATTACAACATGGTGATGGCTGCTGCAGCGGCTGCGTCAGCGTCCGCTCCAGAGGACCACGACCTGCTTCTTAACCGTTTCCTGCCCTACGGCTCCTCTCCGATGTTACGGGAGCAGCCGGGCACCCCCGGGAGCAGCACGCTGGCAACAACTAACGGAGGCAGCAACAGTGGCAGCACCAGTAGTTTGGTGTCTTCCAGCAGCCTACGAGACCGTGACAAAGACAGGGACAGAGACAGCCATGGGATTTCAGGCTTGTCGCGGTCCTCCATGGAAGCAGCAGCAGCTGCAGCCATTTATGGCTCCATATCTGACGTTATCTCTCTTGATTAGACCCACACAGAACTGAAGCACAAGGGAGACCCCAACAAGAGTTCTTTGTAAATAGTAAAGTGGAAGACGAAGGATAAAAGTGCTATGTACAGAGAGGAAAATCTATTTTCAATTTTACTTATCATATGTATATAAACTTGGGACGCTTCTTGTCCCCTGTGTTACTTCCGTTGATATTTTTGTGTGAATACTGAAGACTTTTTCACACCTCTTCATGTGGTCCTTTGATTATATTGTAGCTTTTGTACCTGGTTTTTACAATTTTGTTTCAATTTTTTATGTTCGTAGCATTATTTCAGCGTACGTGCACAGTCCCCAGTGAGGCAACACCTTATGGGACACATTTAGAATATAAAGAATGAATCGATGAAAAGCAACTGGGAGCAAAACAAAAACGAATGCATCATGTTTTTTCTTTATGTTCTAAATGGTGTTTCTGTCATAATGTTTTGACAGCAGAAAGATCTGGCCATTTTTGCCATTGTAGATTTATTTTTTCTAAAATCATGCTGTGGTTGTTATTTTTACATAATTATTTATGATTAAGTTATATTGGGTGTGAGCACACCCTTTTCCTGTTGGAACTGTTGCCACTATAAATGCAGAAGCAAGCGTGAGATCCTTCTGTTGTCATAACTGTGCTCTGTGTCTTGTTTATTTTAGTCTAATGTTATTTTATTCCTCAGACTATGTAAAATACATACGAATTGGGAGTGAGTCAGTATTGTATGGTCAGCCTTTTTCTGTGTGTGAATGAAGGACACTGGTCTAGCAAGCACCCACAATTGGACCTTTAGATCAATATACCGAAATTTGCTAATTGTAGCATTTTTCTTTAATGTTTATCTTGTTTATTTTGTTAGTTACTCCTAAAAGAGAATGACCAGTTGACAAATTTCTGCTCCACCTTCAAGATTTGGCTGGTTTCTTGTCTAATTGAAGTTACCCCTTAATCGAACGGCTCCATCTGTTCACTGGGTTTAAGTGAGTTCATTACATTTCATTCTGTTTTCTTGTTGCACTTGTTTTTTCGTTTAGTCTTTGTGGAGCGTTGAAACATTACAGTTCATATTTACAGTAGTTTTCATCTTACTGTGTTTGCCAGTTACCTGAGAGTTCACCTGTTTGGGAGCTGTGATGTTTGTAGTGACGTCGCAGGGTGCATAGCATTTTTGTGTGCTGTTTTAAGTATTTGCCACAGCCTTTAAGATAACTGTGATAGTTTAGGCATTGTGAATCACAAATTGCATTTTGGCCCAGAGGTTGCAAATCATTACGTTTATTCTGAATGCCTCCTTTTTTGTCTCTTTTTTTTTTTTTAGACTTGATAATTAGGATTATTTATTATCATATATATTATTTCTCATTGGTTTGATTTGTGATTATGCATTGCTGTCATTGTACGTGGTATTTCTTTTGTAATTATATAATTAATGCTATTTAAATATGTCACTGTTGCTTGACATGCATTGTATCATATTTAGTTTCTGTCTGTTTGCTATCAGATGTCAATAACTCAATAGAGGCTTTCATCATTTTTGAAAAGCTAGAAGGTCTACTGTTCGAACTGATATGTAAAAGAATTAAACCCATACACGAAATCCATCTTTGTAGACCAGGTTGGTCTGAGGAAGTCTGGTTTATGTCTGCAAGTCTTTTTATCACTAGAAGCAAGAGAAGTTTATACAGTGCCTTAGAAGTTGAATGAGTGGAAGCAGCATCATAATTTTAAACTTAGTCCCTATAGTGACAAGTCAGTTAAATGTGTTAAAAGTAATTATTTATTTCACTTTGAAATATTGAATCATAAATGTTTGTGAACAGCTGACTTCTGAGGGGAGCAGCGCTGTTGTTGTTCTGACTCGTGGCCAGTTGGGGGCGGCAGTTCTCGCTGACGTTGCTGTCCGTCCACAAAAAAACACGCGAAGAAGAAAACATGACATTAGATAGTGGCGCCGTGGTAAATGGGAATGGGACCTGGCGATTTCCCCCATATTTTGATAGTTTAATCCATGAATGGCGCCGAAACAGGACCCGAAACCTAAATTTCAAGAAGGTAAACTACATGTTTGTCAATGTGCCGTTGGATTTGTGATGTAGGCAGCAGCTGAGAGCGATTGAAAGGAAAGATGTTAGCTTAACGACAAACACTGCGACGCCGTGGAGCGGCTAGCGGTGTTAGCTTTAATTGTTATAACGAGTTGTGAAGATAAAATTAGTTGGTTTTTTTTGTTTTAGTTGCGCCATTAGTTGTCTGTTCAGTCTTGTCTTTGCTACTCAGGCCAGGGCTTCTATATAATGTGCTTTATTTGAAATTGGTAACATTTTCTCATTCACTGAGAAGGATTTCACCGCCTTCTTCAGTTAGTTATTTGCTAACCATTAGCTTAGTCTTGGCTAATCATATTTATAAATTCCACTTATTATATGTTATGCATAAGTAACACTGTACTATTTTACTCATAAAATCTATACATTTAGATCAGTGAAATACAGTGTTTGTTTACTGTGCGGAAGTCAGTCTTGTTTTTTTTACAAGTTGTTTTTTAGCACTGTTTCTGAGTCTTTGAAGAGTTTAAACGTGCAACAGATAAAGTTTAAAGATCACCTCAGAAATAACTTCAGAAAACCCATATAACTATTTTTCAGAACCACTTTAAATGTTTACAAAATATGTTGTTCCTTTGGAAGAAAACTGATAAGGATTAAGGGGTGGTTTGAAACTTTTGCAAATTTTGGGTCTAAGTTTTTGTCTTTCAGTAAAAACCAAACTTGCACCTAAACTAGGTTGAATTTAACAATAAAAACCATCCTGTTTAGTCTTAAACATGTCTGTCTAAACAACTAGTTTAATTTGTTGTATTTGAACAAACTCTAATCTTGATTTTTCATAACTGTGCTCAGGTGAAAGAGTGCTGTGTTTTCATGGGCCATTGCTTTACGAAGCTAAGGTAGGCTGCTTTAGTTAGCCCATATCTTTGAAAATAAGATGTTTCACCGTGTGCCACACATGTTTTTGATAGTAAATTGTGCCTCTGTTTGCAGTGTGTTAAGATAAATATCAAAGACAAACAGATCAAATACTTCATTCATTACAGCGGTTGGAACAAGAAGTAAGCTTTTGATTTGGATGAATTCAGCTGTAAGTCTATGCATAGTTTTCTCAAGTGCTTGAAGTCTTTCTTTGTGCTTTTTTTCTTCTTCGTCCAGCTGGGACGAATGGGTCCCTGAAAGCAGAGTGCTGAAGTATGTAGACAGCAATCTTCAGAAACAGAAAGAGCTTCAGAGGGCCAATCAGTAAGTTCAGCTTTACAGATTTCAAAACTGTCCACCCACTAAATCCTTTTAAATTAGCATCTGTAAATGTCCAGACAAAAAACTGGCTTGCCTAATGTAAATAATATCTGTAGTAAGTATCCATACTTATTATTTTTATTAATTTAGAGACCATTATGTAGAAGGGAGAATGAGGGGTGCTGCACCGACTAAGAAGATACCTACTGCATCGCAGAAAAATGATGTGTGAGTGATCAGTCGTCATTCTTCGTTGAGCACCATCAAACTCCTTCCAGAATTATTCATATATATACTTATTTTTATGTTGTTGTAGGAAAACTAAAAAGAATAAACAGAAAGGTGAGTATAATGTGGTTCTTTCTGTACTATAGATAGTATTAAAATGAATTAACTTGAATACTTAAAATTGTTATCTGTTTTTTTTTGTTTCTATTATTAGCACATTAATGTCAGACTAAAAACGATGCAAAGCATAATATTAATTAAATATGTATGTGTGTGTGTGCAGCTCCTGGAGCAGGAGAAGGGACGAGTTCAGGAGGGGATCCAACGCACCCTCCACGAAAGAAGCGGGCACGTGTTGACCCAACTGTTGAAAGTGTACGTGAAGAAGTCCACTGAATTGTGTTTAGTAGAAGTTTCTCTGGTTTAAGTTGGTTGTTGCTGTGGATAAATATTCAGCTGCACCGAAAGAAACAAAGAAGTGAAAATGTTCTATATTGTATAAACTATAACCAAGAAAATATTTGCTCCACTGATGGCAGAAAGCATGTAGACATGTTAAAAGTAACTCTTTGACTTGTCTGCTTAGGAGGAAACTTTTATAAATCGAGTCGAAGTTAAAGTAAAAATCCCAGAGGAGCTGAAACCATGGCTTGTGGATGACTGGGACCTGATTACACGTCAAAAACAAGTAACTAATTAACCTTTTATTTTCATCTCGTTCACATTATTTTATTGAAAAACATCCTCATGTGAACTTACAATGTAACTTGTCAAGATATTCACTATATTCTGTGTGTCTTCAGCTTTTCCATCTACCAGCTAAAAAGAACGTTGACTCTGTTCTTGAAGATTATGCAAACTACAAGAAATCAAGAGGAAACTCTGACAGCAAGTAAATAAACCATTTTCCAATTAAGTTTTGGGAAATGTTTTTTAGATGACAAAGAGAATGGTCAATAAAGTGCTAGGTATGACTATTTGTTCTTCGTGCCAAAGAGATGTAATTTTTTTAATCTGTTGATTTTTCAGAGAGTTTGCTGTAAACGAGGTGGTTGCTGGTATCCGCGAATATTTCAACGTGATGCTGGGGACACAGCTTCTTTATAAATTTGAGAGGCCTCAATACGCGGACATCCTGGCCAACCATCCTGATACGCAGATGTCTCAGATTTATGGCGCTCCTCACCTACTCAGACTTTTTGGTAAAAACACTTCAGCACAATTGTGTATTTCATATAAGTGTTGTTTTAAACAAAAGGTTGCTGATAGAAATGATTTAAACCAGTGTGTGGGCACAGCAGAAGCTTTAGCTACAGCTCAGATGCTTTTGAGCTGTTTACTTTTCTACATTAGGCTCAGATGCTGTGAAAATCAAAACTTAAGGATCACTGCTAATTATTGTAGATAAAACCACGGAGAAGGAAAGTTCAGTCAGGGCTGTTTTTTTAACATGCCTCTCATATTTTTGCATATTTTCCTTTTTAAAATTCTAATTATAAGGAAAAGTCAGCCAGCAAACATTTTAAGTGTGTAGAAAATATTTGATTATATCCACCTTCTTAAAGTAAAGCATAAAAATAAAAAATAAAAATAATGTGCAAACCGGCTTTTTCCCATTAGACTTTTTTTCCTCTCATTTCATGAGGGAAAACGTTCGGTAAGAAGGAAAACAAAACAAAAAACTAATCAATAGTTGAATAAATCTCTCTAAATAGAGACATGTATAAGTTGAGAGGAATGTCATTTCAGTCAAACTTTAGTTTAACGTTTCAAAAATGTGAGTCTTCACTTGGCATACGTTCACACTGCAGGTAACTATGTCCCAAATGTGAATGTGTTGTTGTTTTTTGGTGCCCATATGGAACCTATATTAGATTTTTTTTTTATGACATCTGAACATAGTAAATCCGATTCTTTTCTAATCAGACCCAGGTCTTTTTCAGATGTGGTACTGATTCTGATACATATCCGATGTTTTTCAAAGTGGCTGCAGTCTGAACAGTCGTGTCTCATTTCATCCGCTTTTACATCAGTGAGGTAGAAGCTGATCGATCCAAGTATTAATACCAATGATGTCACCATTGTCAAGTTTAAATCTTGAACTCTTCACGTCTTCAGCCACAGAACAAAAGTCCATCTTTGTTCTTTGAATGTCCTGGATGACTGAGAGTCTACAGCAACATATGCTCGGACTGCATCGATACGAGGTGATGAGACTGATACTTGAGTTTGTTTTTCTCGCTCCGAAAATACAACACTGCACCGGAGTGCCTGTCAAGAAGCAATATTAAATATAAACACTGGGCCAAACAAGCATGTCAGATAATTTAATCTGTTCTGATTGTACAATTTCAGAATTACACATGCTAAAATGCTAACATCCATATTTACTTCCTCAAACATGTCGTGTTGCATGTGAGGTCACGTCTTCAGCGTATGCAGGCCATCTCAGAACTTAACGGTTCACACTGGAGTCTGATGGGGGTCACATTTTAATGATGATGTGAACAAACATTAGAAAAAAAACACCGTATCTGAGCAAAAACTTGTAATTTAGGAATAAAACCTGCAGTGTGAATGTAGCCTGAGATACAGTTTAAGCCAAGCAGTTTAATGCTACATGGTACTAGTGCGTCAAAAGAGAACCATCAACCAGGATTATTCACAGACATTTAAAATTAAAAAAGCAATTTATTCTGTAAAATGTCATCGTAGCCTTTGTTAAGTGTTGTCTCAAACTGCTGGGAATGTCTGTAAAAGTTTTAAAATGCAAAGTAACACAATTAATTGGTGTCCCATGATGTGAAGTCTGTCATTGTTTGTTTTGTAAGTGAGAATCGGGGCCATGCTGGCGTACACTCCCCTCGACGAGAAGAGCCTTGCACTACTGCTCAGTTATCTACAAGACTTTCTCAAGTAAGCGTTCTGAAATCATTCAGCGAGTTTCCTTCTGATAATTCAGAGATAACTTACACAAGTTCCATGTTCCTCCTCTCTAGGTATCTTGTTAAGAACTCTGCATCCCTCTTCAACACGAGTGACTATGAAGTTGCCCCTCCAGAATATCACCGCAAGGCAGTTTAGTTATTTCTTTATTTTTTCAAGATCTAAAGCCTTTTTGAGTTGAGCTTCGGATAAGACTTTTTGTTTTATTTTTTTCAAACGGATGAGATTTCATCAGAGCACCTTTGGGGAACAGATTTTGCAAGAACTGTGGAGGTCTGTTAATGTCCCGGTAGTTCTATTTCATCCCTCCTGACCGCCAGAGGGCGGTGCTGAAAGCACTGAATGTTCCCTTCGCGCATGCACTGTTCGAGTAATAATACCAACGGAGTCACAGGTGTGACACGGATGACCAATCGGAAGCTATATAGCCCGACGTCATCCGCAGCTCTGCTCCTTTTTTCTTCTCGCTCGCGGTTCAATTCAGGGCTTCAGCCCTTTGGACCTTTTTTGAACTTTTTACCGTCGTCGGAAGCCCGACTGCCCGTCGGCGGGAGTAGTGTGTTCGCCCTCCTAGGGGCTGCGACGGTTTAACCCTGTTCAAAGGTATTTTCTGCTGATTCGTTGGGGACTACGGCGGTTTCCGCCTCTCTCAACTTACAGCGTATTATGTGTGTGATTCAACACCGGTGAGTAGTGTTTTTTCTTATATTTTGCTATTGGTTAGCGGTAGCGTTCACTCCGCTTCTGTTTACTGGAGGCCTCCAACTGCGTGGTCGGTTGGACTGTGCTCCGAAGTTTGCTTATTACGTAGTCAGCTGAGTTCCTGGCCTTGTTTTCATTGGTGAAGGTTAGCGTTTTTCGCACCTTCTCCCAGTCATTTTCTCCAACCTCAAAGACCGTTGGACAGAGCTAGCAGTGCTAGCCTCTCTGAGTTCTGGCCTTGTCTTTAATTGATGAAGGCGAGCGGGTGAGGAGGAGGGGCATTCATCTCAAGTCTCAGAGACGGCTTCACTTTCTTCTTCTCGGAGCACATTTAGTGGGTCTGGTGACGGCTCGATGCAGGACGTCATGCGTATGGCCCTGAGACAACTGCAGCTGGACGTCCCGCAACCGGAGGAGTCCACCCCTGGAAGTGCCTTCTTCAGGCACGGACTGACCCCTCCTTCCTTTTCTGTCCCTCCATCAGAGGAGTTCCTGAGGGAGTTGCATGGTTTCTGTTGGGACCCCAAAGCCTCTGCGCGACTCTCCGCAGATGGCCGAGTGTTGGCGGCTATGCATGAGCCGGCTGCAGCAGGCTTGGATCTCATGCTGGCAATAGAACCTGCTGTTGCCTCTCATCGTGTCACCAGAGGAAGCTCTGCGCAGTGATGTTCGGTGCCCACGAGCTCAGTGTCGCGTCACGGATGAATTCCTCTGCAGAGCCTATGCCGCCGGAGCGCGTGCTGGCCGCTTAGGCAAATCCTTGGCACACCTCATTCTTGCCCTCTCCGCGTCCCTTCAGAGGACAAGTGGTGCGACAGCAGCAATGGGCTTTAGTGATGCAGCGCTTCAGGCCTTTGCACTAATGACGAGGGAACTTAAGCGCGTGATGTCCTCCTTGGTCCAGGCTCGCCGACAGGTCTGGTTGGCGCAGTCAGCATTGACTGAGCCATGTTGTAGAACCCTCCATAATGTCCCAGTGGTGCCGGGGAGTTATTTGATTTGGCTGCCTTGGGAGCGCTGGAACGGACCGTCCAGGCACGACAGAGAAGGCAGCAACTTTTGAGCCTTAGCAGGGCAATGCCCCCTCCACCTCCTCGGCATCCAAGGCGCCCATCAGCTGACCCCAGCATGCAGTCACCGCCTGGGGGTCATAATCGGCTGGGTGGTCTTTACCCTTGTGTGGTTCAGCAAAGGCCTAGCAGGAGCTTTCGTAGGTCGGTCCACTGACCAGCTGGGCAGGCTCGGACCAGGGACTCTGGCCGCCGCCGCCCCCCCCCCCCCCCCCCCAATGGAGGGAGACGGTGATGCCATCAGGCCAACCGTCTGATATTTCTCCCACCAGCAGCTCAGTTACTGGGCTGCTCACGCCGTGGACCCATGAGTGGTTGCCACTCTGACCCATGGTTACCGGCTACAGTTCCGACGGCGGCCTCATATCTCACGCCAGGTCAAGATGACTGTAATCGCCGACCTGGTGAAAGCTCAAGCACTAGACCAGGAGCTTTCCGCCCTCCTGGCCAAGGGCGCAATAGAGGCAGTGGACCCTCTGCAACAACCCAGAAGCTATTACTTGACTTACTTCCTCGTGCAAAAGAGGACAGGCAGGTTTCGTCCCATTTTAGATCTGAGGGAACTCAACGAGTTCCTAAGGGTGCTGCTCTTCTACATGCTCATGACAGCAGAAGTCCTTCAAGCTGTCACGAGGGAAGAATGGTTCACGTCTGTAGACCTGAAGGATGCGTATTTTCATGTGCCTATTGCGGCAAAACATTGCCGCTTTCTCGGGTTTGCCTATCGGGGTCACCACTGGCAGTTCCTGGTACTCCCATTCGGGCTCTCTCTCTCTCCCCGAGGGTATTCACTTGGTGCGTGAAGGCAGCCCTCTCTCCTCTGCAGGCCTGCGGAGTGAAGGTTCTGCCGTACTTAGACGATTGGCTTCTCTGCGCCCCGTGTCAGGCCTGTGCCTTTCACGACACAAACCGCCTGCTTGCTCATGTGTCCCAGTTGGGCCTCAATGTCAACCTGGAGAAGAGCTGCCTGATCCCTTCCCAGACGATCACCTTTCTTGGGGTGGTTCTGGATTCATCTTCCATGAGAGCTCGCCCATCCGCTCAAAGGGTGGCCGTCATACTCCAGCTGGTCAGTCGGTTCAGGCTGGGCAGGCAGCTCCCCTATGCTCGCAGTGACGTGGTCATGTTTTCATGCCCTGACTTTATGGAGGGATGAAGATTTGTCCAGGGGTGTCCCCATGGGAGTGGTAGTGTGTCGCAGGGAAGTGGTCACGACAGATGCCAGCTCCATGGAATGGGGGGCTGTGTGGCAACGCAGAGCGGTTCAGGGCCGCTGGGGTCAAAGGGACCGCTCCAAGCATATAAATGTGCTGGAGCTGCGTGCAGTGCACTTGGCACTCAGGCACTTCCTGCCTCACCTCGTAGGGGGGCATGTTTTTGTTCGGTCAGACAACACCTCTGTTGTCTACCACATCAACCATCAGGGGGGCACCAGGTCAGCACAACTTCTGAGAGTGTCCAGAGATCTCCTGGAATGGGCCTCTCCTCGCCTGTCCACCCTGCGGGCAGCGTACTTACCAGGGCGACACAATCGGGTTGCAGATTTTCTCTCCCGCCAAGGGTCCGCTCCGGGAGAGTGGTCCATCCACAGCGACATAGTGCTGATGATCTGGGACCGTTTCGGTCAGGCAGCGATAGACCTGTTTGAGACTGAAGAGTCGACTCGGTGTCCCCTATGGTACTCTCTTACGGGAGCGTTGGGTGCGCTGGGCCAGGACGCATTAGCTCATCCTTGGCCAAGGGTCCTCCTATGAGCCTTTCCACCCCTTTCTCTAATTTGGCCAACCTTTCAGAGAGTCCTCGAGGAGGGCCACAGGATGCTGCTGGTGGCTCCGTATTGGCCAGCGCGACCATGGTTCCCACTGCTATGAAGTCTATGTCGGGGCGTCCCATGGTGTCTTCCGACCAGGAGGGCCTGGCTGTCTCAGTTGGGGGGACTGATATGGCATCCCAATCCTCAACGTCTTCGGCTGTGGGTGTGGCCACTGCAAGGCTAGGACAGCAGCTGACTGGAGTTTCGAGCCCCGTCAGACGCACCATCCTGGGCGCCAGAGCACCCTCTACTTGTCAGCAGTACGAAAACAGGTGGCGTCTGTTTTCCCAATGGTGTTCTGATCACAACGAGAATCCAGTCTCCTGTACAGTACCCACCATTCTGGAGTTTCTCCAGTCTCTCCTTGGTAAGGGTCACTCTCCTTCAACGCTTAAAGTTTATGTAACAGCAATATCATCTAATCACGCTGGCATTGATGGCTGTACGGTAGGGAGCCATAATCTAGTCTCTCTTTTTCTGCGTGGTGCCCCTAGGTCACACCCGCCGACAGCTCCACGAGCACCAGGTTGGGGCCTGCCCTTGGTTCTCGAAGCTCTGTGCCGCCCTCCTTTCGAGCCTCTGACGCAGGCGGACCTCAAGTGGCTTTCACGTAAGACGGCTTTTTGTTGGCTATTGCCTCAGCAAAGAGGGTCAGCGAGCTACATGCTCTCTCAGTCAGCCCCTCATGTCTCAGGTGGGACCCTGAGGGCTCTTGTGTTACCTTGTGGCCAAACACTGCATTTGTACCAAAGGTGTTATCTCACTCTCACTGTAACCAACCGTTGAGGCTGGCACGTTTTCAGCCTACGCCTGGTGAGGGGTCTGGATTATTGTGCCCAGTGAGGGCATTGGAGGGCATACGTTGCAGCTACTGCCGTGATGAGACATTCAGACCAGCTGTTTGTGTGTTATGGAGGCCCTAGGTTAGGCTGTCCTCTTTCCAAACAGCGCCTCTCCCACTGGATCGTGGATGTCATCTGCCACGCCTATGCTGCAGGGCCCAGCCCCCTGCTTGAAGGCACACTCTACCAGGAGCGTCTCCGCTTCCTGGGCTGCCCTGAGAGGGGTTCAGCTGGAAGCAATATGTGCTGCTGCATCATGGGCTTCCCCAAGCATGCTCACCAGATTTTACAGAGTGGCCACCCCTCATCCCCTGGGCCAGGTTCTTCTACAAGGGTCCTCTGGGCCTCCTCAGTGAGGTGTGTGTTTAGGATTCCTTGTGACATCGTTGGTATTAGTCATTCAGTGCTTTCAGCACCGCCCTCTGGTGGTCAGGAGGGATGAAATAGAACGAAAGTTACGTATGTAACTACGGTTCTATGAATCCCGGATGACCGCCAGAGCTTCTCTGTCACTCGGAATCCTTGCATTCCGCGAGAAGATTCTGTAGGAGCAGAGCTGCGGATGACGTCGGGCTATATAGCCTCTGATTGGTCACCCGTGTCACACTTGTGACTCCGCTGGTATTATTACTCGAACAGCGCATGCACGAAGGGAACATTCAGTGCTTTCAGCACTGCCCTCTGGCGGTCATCTGGGATTCATAGAACCGTAGTTACATACGTAACTTTCGTTTCTGGACAATGTTGTTGTTGTTTTTTTTATTGTTTCTTTGTTTTGTTTTTGTTTTTTCACGAGGAAAGCTGCTGAGTACTTTTTTTTCTGTAATAGCTTGTTTTTA